AACCTTCAAATTTAGCTGGGTATTGTTTAAATATTGTCAACATGATAGCAGAGTTTTCTCTTTGTGTTTTTACTGTATCTTACTTTGAGAGCTAAAAACACAATGTTCAATTTAACAGAAGTTACATACCTGCTAAGCTTAAGCACCAAGACATTGTGTACCGAATTGTTGTTCTTTAAAGTGCTCGCCGATGTGCTGAAAAATGTTCTTAAGTGATGCTGTCTTTTTCATTTCAGGCCCGGTTGTTTGATGAGCCGCAGCTTGCCAGCCTCTGTTTAGAAAACATTGATAAGAACACTGGAGACGCTCTCGCCGCTGAAGGCTTCACGGATATAGATTTGGGTAATGTCTTACTATGAATGCTGACATTATCGCCCCATGTTGTATTTCTGTAGCACCAGTCCACTACACAAGTCATCTGAGGACACTTTGCATGACCTTGCATGATGACAATATCATATTATAGAGAGAAACCCAACAAATGGTTTTAAAAATAACAGCCTGACTGATGGTTGATTTTTCATCTCTCCCTCTATTAGATACACTGGTGGCAGTGTTGGAGAGGGACACTCTTGGCGTGAGGGAGGTGCGTTTGTTTGGAGCTGCGGTGCGTTGGGCTGAAGCCGAGGCTCACAGGCAGCAGCTGCAGCCCACACCTGAGAACAAACGTAAAGTCCTGGGAAAAGCTCTCACACTCATCCGCTTCCCTCTCATGACCATTGAGGAGTTCGCTGCAGGTGAAGAACAAGAAAGCAGAAAACTGTCACTGCTGCCATTTCTCTACTGACAAACACACATTCTGTGATTCAGACTTTGATGTGTGCCGTCGGGTTGTGTCATTGTCCCCTCAGGTCCAGCCCAGTCCAGTATTCTGACCGACAGAGAGGTGGTGAGTCTCTTCCTCCACTTCACCGTCAACCCAAAGCCTCGTGTAGATTTCATCGACCGCCCTCGCTGCTGCCTCCGCGGGAAGGAGTGCAGCATCACACGTTTCGGCCAGGTGGAGAGCCGCTGGGGCTACAGCGGGACAAGTGACCGCATACGGTGAGTTGATGATTAATTTGTAAAGCACCATTCGAAAACAAAGTTAGAAAGTGCTGCATGATGAAGATAGAGCTGAGGTCTTGACCCTCCAGAAATATACATGAAAACCCAATAAATCTAAGGATTTCCTAAATCCCCCGTTGCTGTGTTTTCATTCTTAATATTGTTATTATTATTGTGTTATTTAATTTGATTAGATTTTACTTACGCACAGAGCCTTTGAAACCATCCACTGCTGTCTTTGTCTTTGGCCAAAATTAGAATTAAAATTTACTGTATTTATTTAATCAGTTATTATTAGGCTAAAATAAGGTGTGTGATCTCACTCAAGTAAAATATTTACAGTGTATTAAAATGAAACAAAGTCTACTTTTACTGTTTAATGTTGGAATGAGAATTTTATCTATAGAATACATTTTTAATTAACAAGCATGTGACTGAAATTATATGAATATAACTATTTACTTATATTAGTTTTCAGTGTAATCAGCCAAGAAAAGATTTTTTTTTAAAAAAGATAGTGTTAATGCCCTATGAAGCTAGAAACATAAACACACATGCATGTGTCTAAGTATAGAGCCCTCACATGAAGCACCATAAATGTTTGTGTGACAACCGTGATACAGACAGAGCCACGCTAACAGTGAAAGGCAGAGTGTTTGTTCGCTCATTTGATAGTGACAACTTATGAGCAGCCTGCAAAAGGAACACCTACATTTGTCGAATCCTTTTGCCACCACGGTTAGGGTATTTCAGCTGTGTGTCGTGTCAGATTTTTGTAAATTATACAGCAAGGATATGCATATGCATCCTCTGCATCTTCACACAGCTTCTGCATGGCCCTCCTCTATCCTAAAGACGTATTTTAGGAATTAAGGATGAAGAGGAAAGAAGAGTTAAGGCAGCACAAAAGATAGAGAAATAAGAAGAGCCTCAAGTCTTGGCTGACAAAACTGTAAAAACTTAGCATGTGCTGGCACTTAAATTGCTAATAGATGCTTACTAAGATTAAGCCATTGTTAACAGCGTTAGTTACACCTGTTCTTTTTCTGTAATGATGTGAAACTAACCAAACAAACAAACAAAAAAGTGTATTTGGTGATTAGAAAATTCCAGAGCATCCATTAAAATGACATCCCACTCTACATACAGGTAACCTTTCCCCTCTTTAATTTGAATCTTCCCTTTTATTATATTCGCAGGTTTTCAGTAAACAGAAGGATATTTGTGGTTGGATTTGGACTCTACGGTTCTATACACGGACCCACAGATTACCAAGTTAACATACAGGTACAGTCCCGAGCATGTGTCAGTGTAAACCTGTTCTCATTAGGTTTGGTTGTGATGTACTTTATGATTGTATTTTGGATGTTTTGTATGTGTGTTCCAGATAATCCACACAGACAGCAACACAGTGCTGGGGCAGAACGACACAGGCTTCAGCTGTGATGGGTCAGCAAACACCTTCAGAGTCATGTTCAAGGAACCAGTGGAGATTCTTCCCAACGTCAACTACACTGCCTGTGCCACGCTTAAGGTCTGTGACATGGAAGTAATTCATACAAGAGACATGTATTAGGCTTAAGAACTCCTTTTTCTCCGTCAGTCTATTCTGCTGCTTAACCCATGTCAGTGTGCTCCCAAATGAGAATCTTGCAACATAAAAATCTTCATTTAATTATGTATGAGCATGATTGGGTAAAGGGTCACTTGGGAATTATGTTAGTTGTGCATTTACATCTTTGACAATGTTGGCCTAAAGGAATCAGAATGATTTCGGTGTAAGATAGCAGTAAGGTGGTATTGTATTGTAAAACTTTAGCACTGCACTGTTGATCACTGTGCTGAAGTGCAAGTAAAATTACATATTTGTTAAATCATTTTATGTTATCCAAATTGCCGCTATGCAGCGTGTGTTTACCCGTCTGTCTGTCCTGCAGGGTCCAGACTCTCATTATGGGACTAAGGGAATGCGAAAGGTAACACATGAGTCATCATCCACTGGCACAAAGACCTGTTTCACCTTCTGCTACGCAGCGGGCAACAACAACGGCACTTCCGTAGAGGACGGACAGATTCCTGAGGTCATCTTCTACACATAGTCACCTCAGACATCGCAGCGATCTTCCATCAAATGTGACAACCTGACACCAGCGCAGGGCCACACCTCAGCAGCCGTACTGGGGACTAATCTGTCAGACTTCATACTGTTCCCTCCATATAGTGCACTTCTGTTGGCCACATGGGAAGACAAATAGCTGGGAGGAGATGTAGGTCACTACACGGGGCGTAGCTCGTCACACGAGATGCTGCCTCTCTCTCTCTCAGCGGCTTCCTTTCATCCCTTTGTGTTGTAGTGATGCCAGCCTCTGAAACAGACATGACTGTATGCGACTCCACAAGGGAAAGAGGGAGGGAGGAGCCTCTCAGATTATTCACAGTATCGATGTCACTGCTGCGGATTGACGGCATAAGGCTTGACACTGAATTCTACTTAAGCTGTACGATTCCCCTTCCTGTACTCCACAGCATTAGTGCAAAGGAGAGTCGCAACTGTATGAATGTACAGTTTATCAGATTTGCCAAGACAAGATCCTCATCAGCGTTTAGTACAGACTAGAATTTCACTCAACTCCACGTTAGCTGTAACTTCCATAGACTGACAGACCTCATAGGCTTTACGAAATCTTGGCGAATTTGAAACAAACTTCATATTAATCTTTAACAGTATGATTATGGTAAGCAGTTTTTCGGGTTTCTACATACAGTACAATCTGTGATATCTTGTGTCCTTGCTTGGTAGTTGCCTATACCCAAGATACCTTGCACTTCTTGGCCTTGCATATGTTTATTTGGTTGTTCTATGGATGCACACTAACTCTTCAGATACGTTTCTTTTAAGCTTTGTTTTAAAAAGTGTGGGCGGAAGAGCTTTCCCTCTTGGTGCGGACGTTAAAGGGTTGTATATTAAAGTGGCATTTATTAACATTATATATGTAACTTGAAATAAGTATCGATTAAAGAGTGAAGACAAAAGTATTGTGGTGCTTGTTTTTTCGGAAAAGAGCCAAATAAATCCTAACCCACAAGGACAATTCTACATTTTCGTAGCAAGCCAATTAGTACCACTCTTACATCTGTTCCAGAATGTAAGACGTGTACTAATCCAGCAGCTGGCTAGCTTCGTATAAACCACCTACCAGCACCTCCAAAGCGAACTATTTTAGGGGTTATGTTTTAAACCATTTTTTTCCCTGTTTATTGAATGTATTTAAGTACAATACAGAGAACAAGATACTGTACAACGTGGTGAACAAGGAACAAAAAGTTATAAAAAGAATGCCAATAAAATAGTAAAACTTTAGATGATACAACAAAATGAAGGCAAGAGAGTGACTCAATAATGGTCAGAGCACAGAACCCATGGGTGCAAATGCCTTCAAGCTTTCTGGTCCAGTTCCCATCTCTTACTGCATGTCATTGCTCAGCTCTCTTTTTCCCAACATTCCCTGTCTCCAGTGTAAACTGTTAAATAAAGGTGAACATTTTCAAAATTAACAAGTTGTTAGAATTTCCTTATTAGTGCAAGATATTAAGTGGCAGACATTCTTTGGAAAACAAGTCTTTCTGCAGATCTATTTATGTCCAAAGCTGATTATGCATGCTTTCTTTTTGTTGTTGTAACTTTTTAAAATCACACATTTTTGGGGATCATTTTTATTTCTGTGTAGCAGCTTCCTGGAATATAAGGTAGTAATTTAAACAGACTGTACTGTGTTAATCAATGAGTTTTAGAGATGCAGGTAGTTGGATTTTGATGCCACTACACAGAGCCATGGATAGTTTTTTCACACATGGAGGGATTACAGTAAGAACAACTTCACTGAGCTAACCAGCTGCTGGCTGAATGTAAGTCACCGTACAGCAGCAAGAAATAAGAATTTTACGAGTCACAGTTTCATCACGAGTTGAATGTTTTTATTCATTATTACATCCACTGAACAAAGGTCCAATCCAGTGAGTTTGACTTCTGTATCTTTATTGTGATTTCCATGGTTTTATCTGGGCATGATCCATTTATATATGCATTATTGCAGCAGTACCACAGTGCACTGTACAGGCCCACCAATACAACTGCTTCGATCCAATTGTTCCCCAAAACCCTCTCCCTAGGCACTTGGTGTACTGTAGCTGTGAAATGAAAAAAGCATTGCTGCTTCCACTAGCCTACGACGAAAGCTTAAGCTTTTTGTTTCTGCTCCGGACTCCAAGTCAAAACAATTTGTGCGATGTATCTTTAAGCCTGTGCAAAGATTTTAAAGTGCCCACGGGGTAGGGTTTAGAGATTGATTTGGTATTTTAATAATAATCCAGGGTCAGTGTTTAAAGTTTGTCCAAGTAGTTGTCGAGGGCGGGTATGCCCTCTTTCAGACCTTTGCGTTTCCTAATTTCACCGACAACTTGGAAGGGTTTGCTGGTAGCGTCACTGGGGTCTCCCTGGAGAATCTGCCAGTGATCGAATACACACTGAGGGAAGGCCTGGCCTCCAGTGTTACTGCGCAGGTCAGCTGTGAACCCTGTAGGAAACGAATACAGATAAAAAGCCTTGTTTTAGGTCCGTATATACCTTTTGTCTACTAAGAATGTGACTTTGCTGTCAATGCAAATTCAGATGAAATGGAACTGCTCAGCAACTCTTCAAATTATGGCTTGCTGCCTATTGCTGAGAAGTGAAGAATAAATCTGATGAATACATTTCAGTATGTACGAACATGTTTACTGCCCACCGGAAAATGTTATATAATGGATACAGTATGTATCTTCACACACACTTCAAAAATCTGATTCAATCTTTAGACCTTTGTAGTCGTCTCTCTCTCTCACCTAAAGCTTTCTGAATTATGCTGCCTTCTCATACGATTTCTCCAACAAAATTACTAACCAAGACCAAACTGATGAATTTATGGAAATCTTGTAAATAAGGGGTCTTTCAAAGTCTGAGACTTTGGACATCCCTTCAGACAACGTTTGGAAAAAGGTAGCCTCTTACCTCCAGTTTATTCATTCAGTTTTGCTCAATTCATGGGTGCCTATGAGATCCTACTAATAATGCCATTTGACATAACTTCAGACCACAAAAAACACACAAGAAAGGTCTGTCCTAAGGCATTTGTTAGTTTCATAATTTAGGAAAGTGAGAAAAACAGCAAGATTCTCCAAAACTACTGTAACTCTGAACTGTCTATTTAACGTTGGCTTATCCTATGTGATGACAACAAATGCACTAAATAATGTAGGATTTTGTTCACTTCTGTTCACTGAGCTTCCCCTGAAACAGGGAAGGCCCACTTTGAAAACTTCTTCTCTGAAAACATATCCACATTGATTAGCATTAAATTTGAGTGAACACTTCAGTCCCACCACAAAGGACACGGTGGTACAAAGACTCACCAAAGGATTCGTTGACTGGCAGGTAGGCTTTCACCACGAACATGGGAGTGCCCATCACTTGGGATTCTTCAAACACGTGACCTCGTTTCCTGTTCAACACGCCATAGATCCCGCCGACCACCTGCTCTGGACACTGCACGGACAAAAGGCACAGATGGACAGTGATGTCTTTCTCACACTGAAGGTTAGCTCCACAGTGTACTGAGCCAAGTCAGCTGCCCACATCAGTGCTGAAACAGGTTCCTCCCTACACTGACCTGTATCTCCACAAGATAAACCGGCTCCATTAGTCGGGGCTGAGCGGTGAGCTGGCAGGCGTACAGGACCCTGCGAGCTGTGGGAATAATCTGTCCTCCACCGCGGTGGATGGCGTCTGCGTGCAGCGTCACATCGTGGATGTCGTAGCGAATTGCGCGCATGTTTTCCTCACAGAGTGCACCCTGCAGGATGAGATAAAAACACACGCTTTAAAGTAGCTGCACACTATATCACAAACTCGTCTGATTATACAGAGACACTCATTTAAAAAGTAACACGAGTAAGAATTAATTAGTCACCCACCTCCTTAGTGGCCCACTGGAAACCAGCCACGACGCTGTCTTTGATCTCATTGAGGTACTGAACTCCCTTTGTTACGTCTACCAGCAGATTGGGCCCGGTTCCATCTGGACCGAAGCACCAGATCTTCCTGGCTTCTGTCACCTCCCACTCATACTTGTCGGCAAGGTAACGTGCACGAGTCTTGATCTCCTGCCGAGAGGTGACGTCCCCCTTCTCGATATCTTCAGCCAGGCCATCTTGGAACGGACGAGCCTTCATGAAGAGACGATTGTGCTTGTTGGGGGACTTGGACAGACACATCTGGTCTGACTCTTCTGACACCGTCTCTCTGTAGGACACCACTGGGTCTGATTTCTACAAAGAGATAGAGGAAAGGGTCAGAACTGCGAGTGTGACTGTTAATGCAACAAAGTAGGGATTCTTCATTTTCCACAGGAAAACTAAAGCCATGTTTGCCTCTTGTGTTT